AACACTCCAGCCAGCTGGTCTGCGCATGCTCTGAGGACGCGGCTAGGGATGCCGTCTGGGCCGGCAGCCTTGCGAGGGTTAACACGCTTAAATGTCTTACTCACGTCGGCCACTGAGAACGAGAGCCCACGGAGAACGAAAGTAAAGACTGTCGACTGCCTGGTCAATGGACAAAATTTAAGCATGGAGTCCATGGACACAGATACCAACTAGACACCATTCCCCAGTTTGTTTCATTTGCTGTATTATGTCATGGCATCCACTCAGATTTTGTGTATGTGAGTTTAGTCAGCAGATTAGGTCAAATCAATAACTCCCTGTCCCAAAGTCCACTTCACAACTGCTGTTCATTGTGCCTGCACATGCAGTTTACTATGCTGGTGTTTGACCAGCGTGGCCAGGAATATCAACACAGAAAGGATGTGGTTGGGGTATAGGCGGCTGTACAGTACACTGAACAGGGGTTATGTTATGCGCAGGCATAAACTACGGACAATGAACACAATTGCATTTTATCCATGGCAATTTGAATGCAGAGATACTGTGACGATATCCCGAGGCCCATTGTCGTGCCTTTAAAATTAAAAGATATCTGTGACCAACAGATGCATATATGTATTCCCAGTCACTTGAAATCCATAGATTAAGGCCTAATTTATTTATTTCAATTGACTGATTTCCTTATATGAACTGTAACTCAGTAAAATCTTTGAAATTGTTGCGTTGCGTTTATATTTTTGTTCTGGCTACGCTGGTCAAACACCAGCATGGAGTGTTTAATGTTCCTTCAGTACACAAGCACTGAGACATTAGGCACCAAATGGAATAAAACGGACTGAAACCAGGAGGGACTAACTGGTCCAATAAGAAACCCTCCTCTTTTTTCATTTTCCGTTGCGTGTCCTTATGTACACAACCTTTGGCTTTCAGAGTTAGCTACTGCTAGTAGTTACTACTGTATTATGTCTCCCACATATCCTCCCACTGTGGAAAAGGAATGCTGAGTGTCACGGACGTTGAAGGACGGGTAAGACCAAGGCGCAGCGTGAAATGCATACATGTTTATTTTATAAAATAAACACACGAACAAAAACAACAAAACAACGTAACGTGAAGTCCTCAGGCTAAACACCATACAAGCCTATACACGGAACAAGATCCCACAACTAATGATTGCAAACAGGCTACTTAAGTATGATCCCCAATCAGAGACAACGAGCGACAGCTGCCTCTGATTGGGAATCACACCCGGCTAAACATAGAAACACAATACCTAGAATGTAAACATAGAAATAATAACATAGATCTCCACACCCTGACTCAACATACAAGAGTTCCATAAGTCAGGGCATGACAGTACCCCCCCCCCCCCCCCACCCAAAGGTGCGGTGGGCATTCCGCGGAGGCGGATCCGGCTCCGGGCGTGACGACCTCATTCTCTCAGCCTCCCCGTTGCGCCTCTGGTCTGGACCTCGGCGCGCTGCTTCCCCTCTCTTTCCTCCCACGATGCACCAAGCCCTGTCTGGACCCTGGTGTGGGAGACCCCGAACCTGGAGAGGGGCTGACGTCTGGGCCTGGATCGGCAATCCTCCCGCGATGCACCAAGCCCTGTCTGGGCCCTGGTGTGGGAGACCCCGAACCTGGAGAGGGGCTGACGTCTGGGTCAGGACTGGAGCCGCTGACCGGAGCTGGACTGTGCACCGGTGGAGCGGACTGCTCTGGCTCCGGAGTGGAGCTGCTGACTGGAGCTGTACAGAACCCCGGTGGAGCGGACTGCTCTGGTTCCGGAGTGGATCCGCTGACCGGAGCTGGACTAGGCACCGGTGGAGCGGACTGCTCTGGCTCCGGAGTGGAGCCGCTGACCGGAGCTGGACTAGGCACCGGTGGAGTGGACTGCTCTAGCTCCGGAGTGGAGCAGCTGACCGGAGCTGGACTGGACCCCGGTAGAGCGGAAGCTCTGGCTCCGGAGTGGAACTGCTGACCGGAGCTGGACTGGGCACCGGTGGAGCAGACTGCTCTGGCTCCAGAGTGGAGCAACCGACCGGAGCTGGATCAGGCACCGGTGGAGCGGACTGCTCTGGCTCCGGAGTGGAGCAGCTGACCGGGAACGGGCACGGGCCGTGCCGGACTGGACACACGCACCACTGGTCTGGTGCGAGGAGCAGGCACAGGCCGGACCGGACTAGGAACACGCACCACTGGTCTGGTGCGAGGAGCAGGAACGGCCCGGGCCGGATTGGCGACACGCACCACTGGCTTGGTGCGGGGAGCAGGCACGGGCCGTACCGGACTGGGAACACGCACCACTGGCCTGGTGCGAGGAACAGGAACGGGCCGGGCCGGACCGGCGACACGCACCACTGGCTTGGTGCGGGGAGCAGGCACGGGCTGTACCGGACTGGGAACACGCACCACTGGTCTGGTGCGAGGAGCAGGAACGGGCCGGGCCGGATTGGCGACACGCACCACTGGCTTGGTGCGGGAAGCAGGCACGGGCCGTACCGGACTGGGGACTCACACCACTTGCTTGGTGCGGGGAGCAGGTACGGGGCGGGCCGGACTGGGAACACGCACCACTGTCTTGGTGCGAGGAGCAGGTACGGGCCGTACAGGACTGGTGAGGTGCACTGGTGACACAGTGCATAGAACCGGAGCAGGATATAGTGGACCTTGGAGGCGTACTGGAGGTCTGGAGTGTACAGCTGGCACAACCCGTCCTGGCTGGATGCCCACTTTCGCACGACACGTGTGGGGCGCTGGCACAGAACGCACTGGGCTGTGCATGCGCACTGGCGATACAGTGCATATCTCTGCATACATGGGTTCCTCAATTAACCCACGCTCCTTATGTTGCCTGACCAGCTCCTCTCTCCGTGCATCTACTTCCTCCTTCTCCCTACGAGCCTCCTGCAGTGCCTCCTCTTGAATGGAGCTCTCCCGCTCTATTCTCGCTATCAGCCCCCGTAATGTGGTGGCCTCCTCTCTTACACTGCAGATCCTTCTCTCTCTCTCGGCAATCCTCCTCCAGTGAGGACTCCTCTGGGAGCCCCCACGAGTTAGGGAACAGAAACTCATCGTCGTCGTCATCCTCCGACTCCTCAGTATAAATCTGTTCCCACTCTTCTTCCTAAGGTCGTAGGGACTCAACCTGGAAACCCACCGGGTGCAGTGGTCGGGGCTCTTCTCTCTCGCTCCCCGACCACCCCTTTAGCCCCCCAAAATTGTTTTATTGGGGCTGCCTCTCGGGCTTCCTCCTCGGCCGGCGCCTTCTGTGTTGCCGTTGCTCCTCTCCTGCCTGGGCTTCCTCCTTCGCCCAGGGTCCTTTCCCCGCAAATATCTCCTCCCAAGACCAAATCTTCCCCACCTGTGTCCAGGGTGTTTGCTCCTGGGCACGCTGCTTGGTCCGTGTTTGGTGGGATCTTCTGTCACGGACGTTGAAGGACGGGTCAGACCAAGGTGCAGCGTGAAATGCATACATGTTTATTTTATAAAATAAACACACAAACAAAAACAACAAAACAACGTAACGTGAAGTCCTCAGGCTAAACACCATATAAGCCTATACACGGAACAAGATCCCACAACTAATGATTGCAAACAGGCTACTTAAGTATTTTTATTTTATTTTTATTTCACCTTTATTTAACCAGGTAAACCAGTTGAGAACAAGTTCTCATTTACAACTGCGACCTGGCCAAGATAAAGCAAGTATGATCCCCAATCAGAGACAACGAGCGACAGCTGCCTCTGATTGGGAATCACACCCGGCCAAATATAGAAACACAATACCTAGAATGTAAACATAGAAATAATAACATAGATCTCCACACCCTGACTCAACATACAAGAGTTCCATAAGTCAGGGCGTGACACTGAGTGATTCAGACAAAGACATTGAATAATCCACAAACCTGTACATAGTCAATGAATGGAAATACTGTACAATAAAATGGTTTATAAATATGCCAGCAACAAGAACCTATATTTGTTAAACCCTTGATTACCACATATCTGGTTATTTTTTAAATCACAATATGGTTTGTGAAATGTTTTAGGCAATATTTGTAGGTGTTATTTGTTGATGGTATGCATAAAGGCTTGTAGGCCAATTTATGTACCGTATTTTCCGCACTATAAGGCGCACCGGATTATAAAGCGCACCTTCAATTAATGGCCTATTTTAGAACTGTTTTCATATATAGGGCGCACCGGATTATAAAGGCGCATAGAATAGAAGCTACTGCAGTCAAACGTTTGACTGGGGTTGCGTTATGCATCCACTAGATGGAGCTGTGCTAAAGGGAATGTCAACAAAACAGTCGGATAAAGTCAAACTTTATTAAGCGTTCTGACAACAATTTTGGGGTCTTTATACACACACAAGTGGTGTGGGACTGTGAGTAAGCACAGTACCGGTGTTTACTGACTACGGTAGCCGTAATGCTGCAAGCGGTGCGGCTTTGTAGTTTACCAGTCGTACTGAAACATTTCATTATTATTAAATTGTTTTTATTGGTTTTTCATACTGAAACATTTTGACAGAGCGCCTTGAGCGCCGTGTACAACCAGTATGGATCAACCAATTAACCAATTGATCCATATATAAGGCGCTCCGGATTATAAGGCGCACTGTCGTTTTTTGAGAAAATTAAAGGCTTTTAAGTGCGCCTTATAGTGCGGAAAATACGGTACATATTACATACTGTACTGCCATAAACAGTATGCCAACAATATATGTTTATGTTCAACATAAACCAGAAGAAAAGTACAACTGATATTGTATTTTATTTAAAAGAACCATCTTAGAAGTGCACAGCACTCACTGCCATTCTGCATGCATAGGAAGGTGTTAACATGACACATTCTCTCTCCAAATTAATGCTTGAAATACAAAACAAGAATGCAAAATATAGTTAGTGAATATTGCAGATAACACTGTTCAAGAGCAAAGAGAGACATCAAACCCATCCAGTCTCTCACTCTCCCTCCCCATACTGTCATAGCTCCATGTTGGAGATCCATCCACCCATCAAAGCAGGGAACAGCACAGGTGTAGTGCTTATTGACCTGGTAGGTTCTGCTTGGAATGTTGGCCTTGCTATCCAGAGCAGCTGAGATGGTCTGGGGGTTGCTCTGCAGAGTGGGACAGGTAGGCCAGGCTGGAGCACCTGCTGCGGGTACTGGATGTTGGCCTGGTGCAGGTACTGAGTAGGCATGGTGGTGATTGTCTGGCAAGAGGTATGGTACCCCCATCAAGGTCATGTTCATTAGGCACCAAACAGACTGACCAGAAAGGGACTCGTCGTTTTCCCTTGCAAAACGTTTTTGCTATGGTGTGCCTTAATGAACACAACCCTGGTATTAGGCAGCACCCAGCTGAGTACAGACACTCACATGACCAGTTTCTCCACACAGGGGAAAAGGTGATCCCAAGTGTATGCAGTGAGCCACTAAAGCCGAGGTGGCCTGGAAGGGGATATGTGCAGGAGGATGCGGGAGGCTGCCACAGAGGCAGCTGCCACCAGTGAGGGGGTGAACCTCAGAAACACATGATCTGAAACAATAGCTGGTAATTTACTCATTACCATGTACTGCAAAATAATATTGTGCAACAAGCCTAGCTGCGTCTTTTAACAACAGGCCTTAAGTGCAGAATGGGAAATTATGCACTTGTTCTTCCTAAAATCATCCTTTCAGAAGGCAAACACTGGTTCGAAATACAGGTTATGACAACAGATAACTTGAACTTGCCTTGAAGGGAGACCTCCAGGAAGTAGTCAGCGTACTTAGTCATGTAGAGCACTGTCTTCTCTTGGCATGCCATGGGCCAGCCATCGTGGAGATCCGCCTCGTTGACGGCTCGATGAAGTGTGCAGCTGTAGGAATGGGTCATTTTCCAGTACATATATGATGAAATGTTGAGATGGAATAACAAAATCATTATGGGCTTAAGGGAAACCTGTAACCATACCTTTTTGTATAGGAGAAGGGAAAAACAGAATAAAGCATGATCGACACTTTGTAATCCAGATGCATGCCTGGATAGTAATGACAGTCAGCACACCCTGTAATCTAATCATCTTTAAGAATGTACTCATTATTTTTTATGATACTGCTTGTATCACGCCACTAATATAACTGTGTTAAGCGTCAAAGGGGAGGGGAAACCCAGCCTAGAGAGAAACCATTTAGACTTTGGAAACAATAGTAGTGGCGTGGAACTAAAAGATGTCATTCATTTACATAAAGAGGAGTGACTCTATGTTGTGTAAGAATTAAACTGTATAAAAGGAGAGCTCCGAGTTAGGATGGGCAGTTGCTCAATGGACCAGCTCAGCGAGTTACTTTGTAATAAAGTCTATACTGAAAGCTCCGGTGTCTGAGAGATATCTTTGAGAAGTATTTCCACTACATATCTTGGCGTCACGAAAAAGATTGGCAAAAAGGGACCAGAAACTGTGAAAACCTGCGGCTGTGGACGGCTTGGGCGAACTGCTCAGCCCATGCGGGTGGATGGTTTGCTTGTACGGTTTTGTTTCATTCAGTTCGGTTAAGAGGGACTGTTCACCTGTTTCATTCAAGCTGTTCATTCGATCAGTTTGATCAATCTGTTTGTTCCGGTTGTTTTATCTGTTCATTTTGTCCAGACCTGTTTTGTTCAACCTGTTCGAGTTGTGAATGTAACCCGTTCATCTTATTTAATCAGTCTGACTCAGTTCGGGCATTCAATTCATCTGGGTCACTCAGTTGTTCATCTGGTGCATTTGTTCAAATCGTCTTATTCATCTGTTCATCCTGCTGATCGTTCTGTTTGATTCATTTTGGCGCAAGCGGCTACCTATCTGTTTGGATACCGCTCTAGTGTGTTGAGGAAGTGTATTACTAGGTGGCTGAACAGGTAGGCAAAATTCCTGTGGATACCGCTATGTTGTGTTAACGAAGTGAATCAATAAAGGGCTGAATTTGCAGGTTGTTTGTGGGAGAAACATAAAGAAAGTGTGAAAGCTTCTGTCTCTGTTGGAGAAGGGGTTGCGCACCTCTCCTGGATTGTCACATTAAAGTGACCTGGCAGAGAGGACGCACCCAGTTTGCACTGGAAAGGAAGAGCGTGAATGAGTGTGTGATTAAAATACTGAAAGTGAGAAGTGTGAAAGAAAATCTTGTCCTGGGTGGGGAAGGGGCTGCGCACCTCTCCTGGACCGTTGCTTAAGTGTAACCCGGCAGAGAGGACGCAACCAGTCTCGCACTAGGAGAGAAAAAGTGAACGGTGCGTGAATGTCAATTGAAGTACTGGGAGTAGAAAAATACACGCTGCCAAGTGCTTTAGAAATAAGAAAAATAAGAGTAAAAAGACGATTTATGAGATTAGCTACAAAAAGGTGGTGGATCTCAGGAGAAGTAAGCGTACTATGAAAAAAACGAACACACATTTACAATAACTGAGTTTTGGCTAGGATAATCAAGATTGTGGACAGATTATCAATAGGAAAAGTGAATAACAGGATAAAAAGAAACTAGGGAACAAAGAATAATACGGATATTACAGGAAGCCAAAAAGGGGTTGAACTTGGGACTGGCAGCAGAAATGAGTAAAACAGCGGTAGAAATGTTAAGTGCCAGGTATCCTCTGTGCAAAGAGGAGCTGATAAGAGATCTCCAAAAAATGGGAACAGCACACCAAAAAGATGGGCACCAAATGGCTAGAAGGAGGAACGCTTGACGTCTCGGTGTGTGAATAAATGGAAACACTTATATAACAAATGACACAGGAAAGAAAAGAAAGGCCAAAAGGAGAAAGACAAAAAGAGGTACTAAAGATTTTCAAGCAGAAGGACATATGGAAAACATATGGAAAGCTAGAAACATGTTGAAAAAGGATTATGAAAAAACAAGTGGAAAGAAAGTATAATGGTCCACGGGACCCCCGCCATACACCAGCGGGCAATATCCCTGTCACGCTCGTCTACGAGAGAGGACCAATGCGCAGCGTTGAAGGTGAACATAATATATATTTATTAACTGATCACACGATCAAAACAATAACCAACGATGCGTGACGTCTAAGGTTACAACACGAACAAACCTTAACGGAACAAGAAACCACAACACAAAGTGAAAAGACCGATAGTTAAATATGGCTCCCAATCAGAGACAACCAGCTGACACTCGTTGCCTCTGATTGGGAGTCACTCAGGCCCACATAGATATACAAACATAGACTTACATACCCTGGCTCAACATAACATAGTCCCCAGAGTCAGGGCGTGACAGTACCCCCCCCAAAAGGCGCGGACTCCGACCGCGCCAAACAACCACAACAGGGGAGGGACCGGGTGGGCACTCCGCCTCGGCGGCGGATCCGGCTCCGGACATGACCCAGGCACGGGTTGTGCTGGACTGACGACGCGCACCCCTGGCTTGGTGCGTGGAGGAGGAACGGGCCTTACCAGGCTGACGACGCACACCGTAGGCTTGGTGCGTGGAGCAGGGACAGGCCGGACTGGGCTGACGAAGCACACCACTGACTTGGTGCGGGGCGGGGAGCAGGAACGGGCCGGACCGGGCTGACGAAGCGCACCCCTGACTTGGTGCGGGGAGCTTGGATGGGCCGGACTGGGCTGGCGACGCGCACCACAGACTTGGTGCGGAGAGCAGGAACGGGCCGGACAGGGCTGACGAAACGCACCACAGACTTGGTGCGGAGAGCAGGCACGGGCCGGGCTGGGCTGTCGACGCACACCGTAGGCTTGGTGCGTGGAGTAGGAACGGGCCGAACCGGGCTGACGATGCGCACCCCTGACTTGGTGCGGGGAGCAGGAATAGACCGGACCGTACTGGGGACACACACCACTGGCTCTACACCGGGATCTGGAACGGGCCGGACCGGACTGGCAACACACGCCAGTACCTCTCGCCGTGCCTCTACATCCTCCATCCCCTCTTCGACCAGTGGCCCCCGTAACCTGGCGGCCTCCTCTGGCAACCCACTGGGCCGCTCTATCGCGGCCTCCTGCTGGTCCGACGTCGTGAGCCCCCCCCTAAAAAATTTCTGGGAGTCTCTCTTCCCCGTGGGCCAGGCCTCGATAATTCTCGCCCACCTCTCGCTCCTCTGCTTCCAATCTCCGTCATTCAGCTCCTCATTCGGCTTGACCCAGTCGAAGCTCTGCCTCCACTGTTGCCAAGTCCACCTACTCTGCTCCTCACTAGGCTGCTTGGTCCAGTTCTGGTGGTTTCTTCTGTCACGCTCGTCTACGAGAGAGGACCAATGCGCAGCGTTGAAGGTGAACATAATATATATTTATTAACTGATCACACGATCAAAACAATAACCAACGATGCGTGACGTCTAAGGTTACAACACGAACAAACCTTAACGGAACAAGAAACCACAACACAAAGTGAAAAGACCGATAGTTAAATATGGCTCCCAATCAGAGACAACCAGCTGACACTCGTTGCCTCTGATTGGGAGTCACTCAGGCCCACATAGATATACAAACATAGACTTACATACCCTGGCTCAACATAACATAGTCCCCAGAGCCAGGGCGTGACAATCCCCTGGTATCTGGGGTGGTGGAGATAAAGGGAGAAGTAGAGTTGGATAATGAGAGGGAAATTTCTGCTGCATCCACTCAAAGGAGAGAAAAGGACCTGGAAAGGACAGGGGAGAAAGAACAAGAAACAGGGAGGGACCCAGGGAAAAAGTTCAATTGCTATGAAGGATTGAGAGTGGCCTTGGAAAAAATGAAGGTGAGAAAGGAGGAAGATGAGGAATCCCTGGACGGATATATGGTAACTGATATTGAAATAAAAAGTGGGGAAGTAGAAAGAGAAATAAGAAAACTAGAAAAACAGCTAAGCAGGAAGAGGGAAAGAACAGAACAAAGAGAACAAGAGAACAGGCCTGTAAGGAACAAGACGGGGAGAGCAGAGAAGAGACAGCCAGCTTTAGGAACATAATGTATGGTAGAGAGAGAGAAAGAGGAGGGCTGCAAGAAAGAAAGACACTGAAAAAACCTACAAGACCTGGTGCACAATACCCAATCCTAATAAAAGGTACTCAGGGGCATTATGTACCGTGGGGATCACAGGACCTGGAAGGATTGGTTGCCCGCCTGCCAGATTTGCATGATGGGGCAGGTAAATGGATAAGGACCTTTGAGGAACAAACCATGGGGAAACTGCTGGCTGTGGGGGATCTAAAGGCACTGTTGGCAAGGGTGGTGGGAGTGGCAAAGATGGAGGATGTACTGTGGAACAGCGGCCTGAGGATGGCAGTGGGAGATACGCTAGGAGACAGAATGAACTTGGACACATACCGCCCTGAATTCTGGCGAGCATTGAGACTGGAATACCCAGCAAGAATTGATTGAGATTCCGTCTCTCACAGTTGAAGTGTACCTATGATAAAAATGACAGACCTCTACATGCTTTTTAAGTAGGAAAACTTGCAAAATCGGCAGTGTATCAAATACTTGTTCTCCCCACTGTACGTACAAAGGAAAACAGTACACATACACCCGCATGCCACAGGGGTTTAACACTCGCCTCATGTGTTTAATCAGGTGCTAAGAGCGGAACTGGAATGACTTAATACTTGAAGGAACATTGATTCAGTATGTAGATGATCTGTTGATTTGTGCCTCCTCCTTGGAACAATGCCATGCTGATTCTATGAAGGTCTTAAAACGACTGGCAGAAGGAGGACACAAGGTGTCAAAAACAAAACTCCAATACTGCCGATCCCAAGTTGAATACCTAGGACGAACAATAGCACATGGAACAAAGGAAATAGCACCAGGACAACTAGAAGGGATTAGCAAAGTGCCACTTCCTCAAACAGTGGTCCATATTATGACATTTTTAGGAATGACTGGATTTAGCTCAGACTGGATAGAGGAGTATGTGGTTAAGACAGCTCCTCTGCGAGAAATTATGAAAGAAGCAGGACAGCTAAACCTTAGGGCAAGTCTTGAATGGAACAGTGACGCCCTAATTGCATTTGAAACGCTGAAGAAAGAGATGCAGTCCGCTCCAGCTCTGGCAGCCCCAGATTACACAAAACCATTCCTGCTATATGTGACAAATAGGTGTGATAGGTATGCGGCGGCAGTACTTATGCAAGAAACATGCAGTGGAAGACGCAAACAACCCATTGCATATTATGGTACCAAATTGGATTCCATTGCCCAGGGATACCCACCCTGTTATCAAGGCTTAGGTGCACTACAATATGCATATGATAAAGCATCTACCATCACCATGGGATATCCAATAACAATACACACACACACCATAAAATAGTGGAGTTAATAGAGCAGGGAAAATTTGTCTTAACCAATGCTAGAACCTTAGAATATATGACCCTACTAACCTATCCAGACGTTTCCATTAAAACGGTGCAGTACGGTGAACCCAGCTGAAATAATTCCTTTAGAATTTGAGGGACAAGCATATGACTGTGTAGCAGAATTTCTGATGTTTACCAGACTTAGACCAGACCTAGAGTCAACCCCATTTCTTAACACGGGGAAAGGGTACATAGAATAATATTTTGTGGATGGGTCTTGCTATAAAGATCATACGGGAAATCATGCAGGTTATGCAATGGTACGAGAACAAGGAAGGAGTTTAAAGAAGTGATAGCAGAATACTGTCCACAGCCATGCTCAGCCCAGTTAGCCGAACTAAAAGCACTTACCGCAGCCTGCACTCTAGGAAAAAGGAAGACAGTTAACATATATACTGATTCGGCATATGCACATGGGGTATGCCACCTATTTGGGGCAGTCTGGAAACAACGAGGATTTAGGAAAAGTAATGGTACATTATCATCACAAGCAGATCGTAGAAATAATGACGGCATTAATGTACCCCACAAAACTGGCAATAATAAAATGTCAGGCGCACAAGAAAGGAAATGGGCTTGTGATTAAAGGCAATAATGCGGCTGATGAAGCTGCCAAAAAAGCATCTAAATGTACCATCCCGGTATTAACAGTCATTATTGAATCTATACCACAACCAGATGATATAATTAAGATGCAGGCAAGAGCAGGAACTTATGAACAAACAATGTGGCACCAAAGACGTGCCACAAAAGAGATTACGGGACTATGGAGGTCTCATGAAGGGACCATAGTAGCGCCCACCATGTTGCTTAATATGATGATAACAGATGTGCATGGTTTTGACCATTGCGAAAGCGTGGAAGTGGTGAGGAAAATTAAAAAACAAGGATACTGGTCGCCATATTTGCAAGCAATGGTAGATGATGCATTGGCAAAATGTGATGTTTGCGTGCCAAATAATGTGTGTAAAGGCATAACCACGCCTATAGGTCACATACCAGTCCCAGAATGACCATTTCGACACCGAGTCATGGATTATGTGGACATGATGAAAAAGATAAATGGCAAAAAATACATCCTAGTGATAATAGATAGATTTAGCAGATGGGTAGAGGCGGTACCATCAGCAGATCGAGGATCAGGGACAGTAATTACATTTTTTACCAGAGAAGTAATACCCAGGTTTGGAATACTGACAGAAATTAGCTCAGACAATGGGTCAGCATTTATTCAGAAAATGGTAAAACAAGTGCTACAGCAGTTAACGATTAAGCAAAGACTGGGATGTGTATATCACCACAGTCGCAAGGGATGGTTGAGAGAATAAATGGAACCCTCAAGGCTAAATTGAATAAAATCTGTACTAGTGCAAAACTTAACTGGGTGGATGCACTGCCACTTGCTTTAATGAGCTATCGCATGCAAACTAACAGAAATACACACCTAACCCCGCATGAAATGCTTACAGGTCGACCCATGCCGGTGCCTGTTCTAAGAGGACCCTATAATGGTCCCTCATTGGAACAATTAGAAATGGAACTTAAAGCATATGTGAGACAACTAACTGCTATACATAAAGTTATTTATCGCCAGGAAAAAAGGCGAGAACCGTAACCCAGACCAGAGGAACCAGGCCCGGTGATACCAGGAGACCAGGTCTACATCCGAGTGTTCTGCAGAAAGAGGAACGAGCCCAGGAGAGAAGGACCATACATGGTGATCCGAGCAACACCCACGGCGATACAGGTGGAAGGAAGTACGATTTGGTACCATCTGAACCACTGCACCAGGGTCCCAAAGGGAACCACGAGGTAGCTGAGGATGTTGAGGCACCAGGTGGGGTCCAAGAAGAAGAAGAAGCAAGTACGAGCCTCAGCACAAACATCGAAGGCCAGCAGATACTCCCTCCTGAAAATCCAGAGAGTCAGGGGATGGGGCGTGATGACGTGTGGAATACTACTAATGGGATACCTGTTATGGCAGGTGCCCCAAACACAGGCAATGACCCCGGCAACGGAGGGACAACAGGAGTTAGAGGGAAAGTGTCTTCCCTACCATCGAAGAAAGTGACTTCCCTACCATCGAAGAAAGTGACTTCCCCACCATTGACTTCTCTGCCCTTCAATGGACCCCCTAATAACAAATGGAAACCAGAACAGTTGAAAAACTGATCAGGTTCTGCACACAGGATGGCCAAAATTAGGCAGATGCCAAATAGAAGGGTACGTGCTAATGAGGATTAAATGCCTTAAAGACCATTGTGTATAAATAAAATACAAAAGAGATAGAACATGCAAAAAATTATGGATATAAAACAAACCAAACGTCTCATGATCCCACCAATACCTGAGAAACTAACTCCTGAAACTAAAATGAAAGTATGTAGTCTAGCGGTCCTAATGGCAAAAATACCTCAGCAAGTGGAGGTCACTGTAACCACACCTTTTTGTATAGGAGAAGGGAAAAACAGAATAAAGCATGATTGACACTTTGTAATCCAGATGCATGCCTGGATAGTAATGACAGTCAGCACACCCTGTAATCTAATCATCTTTAAGAATGTACTCATTATTTTTTATGATACTGCTTGTATCACGCCACTAATATAACTGTGTTAAGCGTCAAAGGGGAGGGGAAACCCAGCCTAGAGAGAAGCCACTTAGACTTTGGAAACAATAGTGGCGTGGAACTAAAATATGTCATTCATTTACATAAATAGGAGTGACTATGTATGTTGTGTAAGAATGAAACTGTATAAAAGGAGAGCTCCGAGTTAGGATGGGCAGCTCCATGGACCAGCTCGGCTTGTTACTGTGTAATAAAGTCTATACTGAATTCACAAGCTCCGGTGTCTGAGAGATATATTTGAGAAGTATTTCCACGACATGGGCAGGTACAGGTTCCACTGGAAGGTCTCCAGCAGGAGGAACTCCATGTGCAGCAGGCCCTGCTTGGTCAACACCAAATTAATGGAGCTCATGCAGCCCAGGCAGTTAAGAGTCTCCAGCTTAGGAACCCGGTCCTCTCTCTGTCCTCAAACTTACCTACAGACGGGGGGAAATAATCACAAGGCTTAGTGAGTTTCACAAATTATGAGTTTAAAGGCTTAGTGGACCACAGCAATTGGAAGTTTGGCCATGCAGAGGCTTGCAAGGAAGCAGTCACAAACGTACTAGCCAAAAGCAAGCAGGAGAGTGTGACCATGTGAAGATGTTGCACCATTATGTAATAGCAGTCCATGAAAAGTTCCAGTAAGTAGAGAGCAAGGTGTCTGGCTGCTGGACACAGCTGGTAGCGTTGGCTTACAATGGCTATGAGGTCTGCAAAGTAGGTTGAGCTGGAGGGACTGGCCTTTGTAGGAGGGCAACTTGAGTTCCTGAAAAAAAGTGCATGTCATGTTATCTTATGAGATCTCTGATCTTGGACACCCAGAACTATCTCGCGTAATTGCGTCAGATGCTCGATTAAGGTCTGGGGGGAGATGTATGAGACTAGCGAAGTCTGCACCCCCCTAAACTGAAACTCTTAACCAGTTTTGGGCAAGTCTATGGGCCAAATGTCCCATCCCCTTTCGAAATTCGAAAGATGCAAGCACCTGCGAAATCGTGATTTGTCCAAATGATCAGTGATTAAAAATCTGGGCACCGGAACCAAGTTCCTTGTTAGTCATCGCATCCCACAGTCTGTTGACAGATGCTCCGATTCCATTTATGTTACCTGCATCTGTCCACGAGAGATTGCTGATAAATGCCAGATCTTACAATGCCTGAATAGGTACTTTACGTATCAGCTAACCACATCATAGGTTATAGCAATCTGGTGCTCTGGTGAAAGCATGCAACCAGTGGCGTGCGGTGAGATTGGTTGCTGGGTAGGCAATGGCTATTATCAAAGCCAGAATTACTCACAAATAAACCTTGATGAAACCAAAGTTCACCATAAAACAGATCGCTCCGACAACCAGAGTGAGAGACGATTAACCAAAATTGACAACAACAAACATTAACCAAATGTAAATACCAATGTAGCCAAGATACACAAGTGATAGCCTCTGAATTAGGGCTGGGCGAATTGGGCAAAATATATCACAATATTTTCCAATTTCTTTATGGTATCATGGTATTTTATGTTTTTGAATAATAAAAGTTCTACATTTTTTTCTTGAGTTGTGCATGACCCTAGGGTAGCAACACATACAGTGCATTCGGAAAGTATTCAGACCCCTTGACTTTTTCCACATTTTGTTACGTTACAGCCTTATTCTAAAATGGATTAAATAAAAATGTCCTCATCAATCCCACACACAATAGCCCATATTGATCAAGCGAAAACAGTTTTTTTGAAATTTTTGCAAATGTATTCAAAACAAAAAAACTGAAATACCTTATTTACATAAGTATTTAGACCCTTTGCTATGAGACTCGAAATTGAGCTCAGGTGCATCCTGTTTCCATTGATCATCCTTGAGGTGTTTCTACAACTCGATTGGAGTCCACCTGTGGTAAATTCAATTGATTGGACATGATTTGGAAAGGCATACACCTGTTTATATAAGGTCCCACAGTTGACAGTGCATGTCAGAGCAAAAACCAAGCCATGAGGTCAAAGGAATTGTCCGTAGAGCTCTGAGACAGGATTGTGTCGAGGCACAGATCTGGGGAAGGGTACCAAAACATTTATGCAGCATTGAAGGCCCCCAAGAACACAGTAGCCTCCATCATTCTTAAATGGAAGAAGTTTGGAACAACCAAGACTCTTCCTAGAGCTGGCCGCCCGGCCAAACTGAGCAATCGGGGGAGAAGGGCCTTGGTCAGGAAGGTGACCAATGAATAATGTGGAAATTTAGCAAGTTGAGGAGACTAAACTGCTTCGAGTAACCCTGAATTGTAAAACATATTGATACAACAGTAGCTAGGATGGGGAGAAGTATGTCTATAATAAAGCGCTGCTTTGCATTCTTAACAGCACTATCAAGGCAGGTCCTACAGGCCCTAGTTTTGTCGCACCTGGACTACTGTTCAGTCGTGTGGTCAGGTTCCACAAAGAGGCAGAACAAGGCAGCATGGCTGGCCCTTGGATGGTGGTGTCAGCATCATGCTGTGGGGATGTTTTTCAGTGGCAGGGACTGGGAGACTAGTCATGATCGAGGGAAAGATGAACGGAGCAAAGTACAGAGAGATCCTTGAGGAAAACCAAATCTTGTGTTTGTATGCATGTGTCACGATCGTTCACAGTATGGTCCCCAATCAGAGACAACGAGCGACAGCTGCCTCTGATTGGGAACCAAACCGGCCAACATAGATCTAGACGAGGTCCAGACCAGACCAGGGGCGCAACAGGGAGGCGGAGAGTAAGTGGTCATCACGCCCTGAGCCGGATCCGCCTCCGAGGCGGAATGCCCACCCGGCCCCTACCCTGTTATGTTTATGTTGTGCGGTCGGAGTCCGCACCTTTGGGGGGGGGGGGGGGGGGGGGGGGGTACTGTCACGCCCTGACTCTGGGTACTGGTATTTGTTGAGTCAGGGTGTGTATTTTCTGTGTGGTTATGTTCTATGTTGGATTTTCTAGGTTTAGATCTAGATCGTCTAGATCTATGTTGGCCGGTTTGGTTCCCAATTAGAGGCAGTTGTCGCTCGTTGTCTCTGATTGGGGACCATACTTAGGTAGCCTATTGGCACTAGTGGGTTGTTCCGTGTAGGTATGTTTTGTGTTCTACCTTGGACTTCACGTTTCGTTTGTTTATTGTTTTGTCGGTTGTTTATTCATTAAAATAAACATGTACGCATATCACGCTGCGCCTTGGTCCGTCCCGTCTGTGAACGATCGTGACACATGCATACAAACACAAGATTTGTTTTTCCTTAAGGATCTCTCTGTACTTTGCTCCGTTCATCTTTCCCTCGATCATGACTAGTCTCCCAGTCCCTGCCACTGAAAAACATCCCCACAGCATGATGCTGACACCACCATGCTTCACCTTAGGGATGGTGCCAGGTTTCCTCCAGACGTGACACTTAGCATTCAGGCCAAAGAGTTCAATCTTCATTTCATCAGACCAGAGAATCTTGTTTCTCATGGTCTGAGAGTCCTTTAGGTGCCTTTTGGCAAACTCCAAGCGGGCTGTCATAAGCCTTTTACTGAGGAGTGGCTTCCGTCTGGCCACTCTACCATAAAGGCCTGATTGGTGGAGTGCTGCAGAGATGGTTGTCCTTCTGGAAGGTTCTCCCATCTCCACAGAGGAACTCTGGAGCTCTGTCAGAGTGACCATCGGGTTCTTGGTCAACTCCATGACCAAGGCCCTTCTCCCCCGATTAACTCAGTTTGGCTGGGCGACCAGCTCTAGGAAGAGTCTTGGTTGTTCCAAACTTCTTCCATTTAAGAATGATGGAGGCTACTGTGTTCTTGGGGGCCTTCAATGCTGCATAAATGTTTTGGTACCCTTCCCCAGATCTGTGCCTCGACACAATCCTGTCTCAGAGCTCTACGGACAATTCCTTTGACCTCATGGCTTGGTTTTTGCTCTGACATGCACTGTCAACTGTGGGACCTTATATAGACAGGTGTGTGCCTTTCCAAATCATGTCCAATCAATTGAATTTACCACAGGTGGCCTCCAATCAAGTTGTAGAAAAATCTCAAGGATGATCAATGGAAACAGGATGCACCTGAGCATCTGATGTACATGTAGCTATCTTGGCATTTTAACTGTAGACTCTTACCAGTGTATGGATTATGATAATTCACGGCTACACTTTGCATGTAGTCCATGATGAAAATATTAGTAAATCCAATGGATCTTTCAAATATCCACGGTAGCAGAGAGCAGGATGTGCCATTTGACAGAGAAGCCTTGAGTGACAGAATGGACTCTCTTTCTCGTGAATATCCCAGCCCCCTCATTATCTCAACCAATCATGGCTCAGCAAGATTCTGTATTTTCTTCATGTCTAAACAACTTTGTAATTTCACATTTTATTTATAGATTACATAAGAGTTTGTTATTAAGGCATACGAAATATCACATGTTCAAGAAGGCATTTCTGCAAAAAATACGTTCAAATGCCTCTCCTGTGAAGTAGTAATGTGTATCATACGCCCAGCTTTCTGTAACGGGTCACAAATAGTTATATGTCAAAACATATTCAGCCAGCTCTAGAATAAAATTTGTTGGGTATTCGTTGGTATCTCGGTCTCTCAGGTAGTGAGCTAGGGCCGTGTGTGGGGAATGCTGGTGTACAGTCTCTAATAAAGAAAGGTGCCCCATGAGTAATATCAGCTATTACATCAAAACAGGAAATGTCCATTTCAGAATGAATCAACTTAATGTCTGAAATTAATGGCTGGGAAAGTACTGTATTGTGTAGCCTATACCATGATATTTACCCCATCCCAAGATACAGTTTCAGGTAGACCTGGTTCTAATTTGATGGATAGTCATTGTAAATTCATGTCTCCCATTCAAATACAAAAAAGCTTCAGTTGCTTCAGCTGAATGGTGGTAGATAGGCCTAAGATGTAGTGTCCTACGTTCATGATCTGGTGGATTTACACAGCAGTATAGGAGGAATCAGTTTAGGCTTAGGTCAGTATGAGACACCTCTGAGTGTGCATTGTGCAGTGTTGGAGAGCGACTCTCCGATTGGGCTGATCTGTGACCGGGCATAGCAAATATAGGCGAAAAATCGCTCCAAGGTGGTCGGCTGAATTAAAAAGAGACGGACAACAATGTTACAGCCAAAAACCCAGCACAGGCTATGAGCATGAAAAATTGCTGCAAAATTAGGAGTCATTTTTATAACACTTGCCAGAAATGCATTATGATGTGGTTATTATGCATTGTAAGACTTGTCTTAAGCAAGTATTACCCCTTATGTCTTATTATAATTTCATAATGATCCTCACTAAATAACAGCTATTTTTAGTCAGTTGAAAATGTCATACATAGAGACAACTTATTATAAGGCTATTATAAGACATTATAATAATAATAAATAATAATAATGATAACTCATACATGCTTTTAACAGATAATAAATCATAGGCTTTAGGTAAAGTATTGCCATAATTTCAAGCAGCTAAATTCATATAATTTAGAATTTCAAAATAGGACTAAATGCTCTGTTGAAAAGATTTCAATTAGCACCAGTAGCGGTGCGTGGGTAAAATCACTGGGGAAGCCAAGACCCCCACCTCCCAAAAAAGCCATATTACAACCTATGTGTTGGATAATGTATCCAAGATGGCGTAGTAGTGCGGTCGTGTATTCTGTTGTGTCCTCGTGTAAATAGCCTGTTTATTTTGTTTTTTTGTCTTTTTTTTCTCATATATATTTCTCT